TCTGAAATTATGTTTGTACTTTTGACAGTTTTTCATATGGTATTTTTTGTACATATTTACATTTCTACACATATACATACATAGGTTTTAAATAGAGGATGCATTCATAGTTGAATTTTTCACGTCATAATACAAATATAGTCAAATACAAGTAGGTATGTATGTAAGTATGTGCATTGCCGTACTTTAAATTATGTCGTCAAACTGCAATAATCATTGATAACTGCAATTTAAAAAAGAAAAGGAAATGTATACCTATATAATGTGTTACAAACAAATGAAAATGTAGACATAGTTACATACTATTATATAAATGTGTACATACGTATGTATGGACAAGTATCTATGAATAGAATATAAAATTTTGTAAATTTAATAAAGTGACCATTTTAAAACGTCAATAATTCAGTACATTCTATAAATTTTAGTTATTCTAGTCTTAGTTACTTATTCTATTACACCGATATATTGAACTATTTAATCTAATATTTTTATTTGGAGTGAAGTGATTTTTTATATTTAAAAAGTACGAAGAATATTTAGAATGAATTAAATTTTGATAAAAATTAAATTTTTTAATTATCAAAGAATATGAAAAAAGTATTCCGTTTTTGTCATTTCAGTAAAAATTTAACATAGATTTTTTATAACTCACATAAATACATGTACTTACTTATCACTTTTTTAAAGTGTATGTAATAAAAATGATGCCAATAAATTTTAACGTCCTTTATTTTTAACGGGCAAATGATTAATATAAATTCAAAAACAATTATTCTCTTCTATAACCCTCTTTATAAACTGAGATTTTCGAGCCTTTGAGTGTTTTGCAAAAACGAAAATGCATTTTTTCTTTGAAAAAAACTAGTCGCATGCAACAAGCAGAGTAGTGGCGTAGAAAAAAAAAATTTAAATAAAAAAGTCAACTTTGAAAATTTTAGTATTTAGATCTTCATTTGCCAGCGATATTCAATTGCATTGAAACTTTTTATGCAGTACATGTTATAATTATGTTTATAGTATACGGCATAAGGGGAAGGAATAATATTAGAATTGAATGATTTTTGTGAATACATGGAAATGTATTTTTAAGCTATAAAATTATTTAAGTGGTGTTATAAGCAAAGCAATATCATCATCTAAGCATCTTTTAAGCATATGGTTACCCTATTTTTAAAAATGATTTTTTATTATTTCATTTACATATATGTACATATATACTTATGTGAACATTATTTTGTATACCTATACATAATCTGATTATGTATATATGAAAAAAAATTACTATATAATGTCGATTTGAATACACATCTATATATATATATATATCTATATATATATATATATCTATAAATATATACATAAATATATCAATATATATAATTATATATTATCCATTTTAATATAATCGCATATGTGTGTGTGTACACTAGTTAATAAAAATTTGTGTATATATACATATGTATATACAAAAAGTAATAATGTCATATATTTATTGTGCACTCCTGTTTATCTTATTCTTATACACATTATAATAATTATATTGAGTGTATTTATTGTGTACATATAACATTTGTATATATACACACTTATGATATAATTTTGGAAAACTTCTTAAATACACAAACATACATAATTATGTACTTACTTGCATAATTTACACGATTGTATATTATAAATTCTGGAGTATGTACACATTTAGAATTTTCTATCCTGAAAAATTCCAAATAAAATACGTGGTTTGATTGAAAATTCATGTAGTCTTAAAATTGTTATGGTATTCAAAAGACCAGAATATAGAAAAGAAAAACTAAAAGAAAAAAAAAAATAAGGAATAAAAATTTTTAAAAGAAAATTGGAAAATCGATTTCTCTTATAAAAATAAAGAAAATATAACAAAAAGGATATTTTTGAGCAAATTTTAATTTTTAATTAATTGGGGTTCCAAAATGCTCTAAAAGTGTGAAAAATTATGATTTTTCTTTTAATTTATAATCATATTTGATTGTAATTTTTTAAAATTGTGGAATAGAGGAAAAATTTTTTTAAAATTTTTTATTGTGTTGTGAATTCGAGATTAAAGGAAAAACACAGGACTTGCTCAATTAAATTTTTAGTTATTTTTCGAATATTATATTTGAGTAACATTTAAAAGAAAAATGGTACAATTAAAATTAGAAAGTCCAGTTATTGGTAAATTTGAAAAACAATGGGGCCCATCATTAAGTGATTGTCTTGAAATTCATGCATTTTTAAAGTGTGGTGGTGTTGCAGTTAAAGGAACTTGGATAAATGTAAGTGAAAATCGATCATTTGTTTTTTTGCTTCTAAAAATTTACGCGTTTATATTTGTATAGATTGTAGAAATGCAAACATACATACCTAAAAACATATGCTTTTTTAATACAAAGAACGTCTATTTTAAGTTCTTTTAAACAATTAAGTACCAACTTTTAAATATTAAATTAGATTTATTAAATATAAATATTTTTTTAAGTAATTAAAAGAAATTGGGAATTTTAGAAATTTCGGTGATTAGCAGGACGTTTTACTTTTTTTTTTTTACATAGCTATGTACTTATGAGAAACACAAGAGTATGCGTCCAGGTTTTGTGAAATAAACTTATTCTTTAACTTAAATACAAATGTGTTGAGAATACAAATTAAAAATGCAAAAGTTAATTTCCGTAAATTTATAGGTACAAAATTTTAATTAGCTATTTTAATAGTATTCTTTTTACAGTTCATATTTTTGTATTTTTAGAATGAGTTTTTAATTTTTGCTATTTATTTTTCAAAAATATTTAAATTATAATTTTCATAATTCATATTCTTTGTGCGTTTCTACATAAAATAGTTTTATGCGTGTTAGTTGAGGAATTGCCTTTTTTTTCCACAAAAAACCGCAATAATATTTTATTAAAACTTTTGAAATATAACATTACTAAATACATACTAGAGTTTTATGTTAGCCTGAGAATTAATATATACGTATGTAGGTATAAACAACAATTTTGGCAAAGATTTCAGTAAAAAACAAAAAAAAAATTCTTAAAACTTTAAGAATTTGTAAGAATGAAAGTATTAAGAGTAGGGTAGTGTCCGACAGGATTTAGTGCCGAATGCTGCTTTGCTTTTATTAAAATTATAATTTTTTCAAAAAATAAATTTAAAATCAATTGTTTAAAAAAAATTGTTGAAACTGTACCTTTTTTTCTAAAAAAAATCTTCTAATTATTGCAAAACAAATAGGGCAGTCGACAACGCTTCTAATGCTTCCCCGCTCCGCTTACAATGTAAATTTTTTATTTTGAGCAGCTTTGATCACATCTCACAGAAAATTTTATTGATATTATATTATTTTATAGTTATATTATATTTTGAACGCTTAAATAAATTTCGCTTGCGGAAGCGCCACTTCTTTTTCTTTTAGTCAGCGCCATCTGTTTGCAAAAAAATTCCTAATGTAAAAAGTTGCGCTACAAATGCAGAAATACAAGCTAATTTATATTTTATTAAATAATTAATTTTTCCTTTTTTTATTGTTATTGATTTATTTGAATCGTTTAAATGAATTTCCGGATAAGAAATTTTTTTTGGAAACATTATAGGAGGTGGTGCACTAAAGTGTGGTTTACAGATATAAAAAATGTGGAAAAAATTTAGTTTTATATACTTATTGAATTTTGTTTACAATTTGTATATTTTAAAATACTAAAACACAAAATAATAATTTTCAGAAAAATTTCTTTAATTTTCAATTTCTTAAAATGATGTACTGATTCCAGCTAAATTGAGAAAATAAATTTCAATATTTTCGATATAAAAATATTGAAATTTATAGGTATAAATATAAAAGTTAAACAATTATTTTATTATTAAAATAAAAATAGAATAAACCTAAATATAAAGAATGTACATACATACAAACTGATCAGATACTTGTGCCTTTACCCTATGAATAACAAACTAAAAATTCTAATTAAGTAAATACAATAATTGTGGTTGCCTACTTTTGCTTTTTTTTAAGAAGTTGATTTTTCTTATCTACCACTGGCATTTTGCTTTCATTCTATTTACTCTAGCTCATGAGTCTTTGTTTTTACTTCTCTTATCAGTTTTCAACATTGAAAAGAAAATTAAAAGTTTTATATTATGTTTGTTTATGATATTTTATATGCGAATGCATGTACATATGTCAATTTCGAAAATTCAAGAACTGCCATATTCTTATTATTGTTCTTATGAACCTTCAGGTTAATATTCATAAAAATTTAAAGCCTTACATATCTCAAGTTATTTCCCCTTAAGAGTCACTAAAAGAACAAGATAAAAAAATATGAGGTTTTTTTGGGCTTTATTATAAAATCGCTTAAAATGAGATATGCCATTTTCTTCTTTGTAACAAAAAAGAAAACATAATTATTTAATTTTATAAGTTGTTCTCATGAATAAATAGTATTCTTTAGTATGTATATATGTACATATGTCAAAAAAACACAATATGTAATTACAATTTAAATTCAAAATTTCTTCTAAATGATCGAAACAATATCTATTGAAAAGTAATAAAACCAAATTCCAGTAGTACATACATGCATACATACGTACCATACCTTCTTACATACATATATACACACATATTATTGTTTCATTCAAACTAATTAACAAGCTTTTTTATGTTCAAAAAAATAAGCTAAATTCAATAATTCTTAATTTGATGATTAATTTCAGAGTTGTTGGTAAGACTGTTTTAAAATATTTTTCTCTCTTGTTTTGTTTTGGTGTTGAACATTTTGTTCTATTCAATTTCAATTTCAACTTTTTGAACATTAAAAACCAAAACAACAGAAATTGAACTAAAAATTGTTTGATAATAAATAAAGTGAAATGAAATGATTTAAAGAATAATTTAAAAACAATGAGAGAGAGTGCATTTTTAGCAAAAAAAACGGGAAATATTAATCATATATTTGTTTTTACATGTGAGAGAAAAAGATAACAAAACGTATATTTAAAAGCTTTTTAATTTTATATGAGAAAGACAAAATCAGTATATATTTTGTTTTTTTTTTCTAAAGTAAGACGTAATAAGTTTGAGAATTCATAAGAATTTGCCATATTTTTTATGCTTCTGAAAGCAAAAAGTAATTAATTTGTTGGTTGTTGATATAATCGGCTAATATAACCCATATAATAAACAAAATCTAAAAGGGTGCAGAAAAAAAAAAATTAAGAATTGAATTAAAAAAGAAAATAAAAATAAAGATTTTTTTTTTGATATAAGAAAAATAAAAAAGCAATTATGGTACGTACAAAACAAACTGCAAGAAAATCAACTGGTGGAAAACATTCTAAAATTTTGGAGGCAAAGCGTCAACATCATAAGACGATTATTTCACAACCAGTTAAAGTTAAACCTGAAAATGGTAATTATTTTACAATAATTCATGGAGGAAGTGGTGAAAAAAATGGTAGTGATCATTTTACAAGAAGTCGCAGTATTTCAAGTGAACCGAATTCATCTAAAGATCAAGGCAAAAAGAAAGTTGTGGCCAAACCCAAAGCAGCTATAACAGGTAAAAAACTTGTAAATGAGAATTCTGAAATAAAATATCGTCGAAGATATAGGCCAGGTACTGTAGCATTACGTGAGATTCGTCGATATCAAAAAAGTACTGAATTGTTAATAAGAAAATTACCATTTCAACGTTTAGTTCGAGAAATTACAACTAGTTTTAAACATAATATAAGATTTCAAAATGCAGCCTTGAGTGCTTTACAAGAAGCAAGTGAAGCATATTTGGTTGGATTATTTGAAGATACCAATTTATGTGCTATACATGCCAAAAGAGTAACAATAATGCCAAGTGATATAAATTTGGCATTAAGAATAAGGGGTGACAGATCATATTATTGAATCTAAATTCTAAATTATGTATGTATACACCCACAAACATACATTATGTGTGAACTTACAACAAACTTTGTTTAATGTTTGTTTCTATTTTTTTTTTGTAATGTTACATCATGTTTTTAGATTTAGGTTGGGTAGAAAGCCCAGTTTGTTTTTATTTTATTTTTTTTTTTATAGTTTAGTTAGATGTGCATTCAGAAGTATTGTACTCTTTATATGGATTTTTAATATAAAATTGAATTGTAATAAAGGATTAATATTTTAATTATGAATTTTTTAATTTTAAACGTTTTCTTTTTCAGCCATCGTCTCAAAGTCTCTTAAACCAATTTTAATTTTTTGAAATGAATTAATTTCATTCGTTTTTTTTTTGTAGGTGAAAAATCTAAATGCATATGTATGTAATGAATCAATCACCCACATTCGGTTAGATGCGACACTTGACGTAATAGGTTGTTATTCAAAAATTTTAAGATTTTCAGAATAAAGTTAATTTAGAAATTCGAAATTTTATATTGCAAACCGGAATATTTTTTAATAATATATATAATTTCAAATCATGCGACTAATATAATAAGTGCGTCTACCAAATCCATGTTTTAATATATCAATAATCATCTGAACACGTCCTATTTGTGTCCGTTTAATTTTAAAATTGTAATAATTACAATTCAACACATGATAATCTCAATGAGCAACCAAATACGGAAATTTTCAAGTTCACATTTCTATGTAGAAGTTACACTTGTAAGTAGGTACCTACCTACCTAAACATATTTTTTAATCCGGAAGAATGATGTTCTATATAGTTTGTAGAAATATATAGGAACTGATAAACAAGTTAAAAATTGTATAAATTTTTGCATTTTGAACAAAAAAATTGTAAGTTGTAACATCTTATATGTAGGTAACATCTATGCTGGTACACAATAATAGCTCAATGCAACAAATAATTAAATTAAATTTACTGATACTTATATAGGTATGTAATTAAGTTATTTAAAGAATAATAACTCTGTAAATATGTATTATGCCAATAATAATATTAATTTTAAAACTTTATTTATTCATAAATATTCTTTTTTATAGCTTTTCTCAAAATTCCTTATTAAAATAGATTTCTACTTTTTTAAAACATTACTCATTTTGCAATTAAATTTCTTATAAAAATTTTAAAATATTAGTGATTAAACTTGTTATCTTCAAGGCTCAAAGTGCTGAATTTTGTATGAATGTTTTGAAACAAGCTACAACTAAAGAAATTCTCCTCACCTCACTTGCAAATTACATAAACTGGATAGGTTTCTAGATTACATAAATTACATAGGCAATTTAAAAGATGGGATTCAAAATGAGGTCCTTAGAATTGTATTTTATATTGTATAACTACAATAATTTCAAAGGATTCACAATTATTACAATGTTTTAAAGGTGAAAATTTCAATCAATTGCTTACCTTTAGTATCTATCTGCTAACATTTAGTCAAAATTAATTAATTTTTGAATTGTGAATATTGTTATAAAATTAAACCCACTTCTAAAGCCAGATAAAATGCATCTATAAATCGAATGGATTTGTATTTTGAACATAAAATTGGTAATTATGTTCATTAATTAAAAAACTTTAGTTTTAATAATATTATGTAATTGTTATAAAAATACTAACGCTAATCAAATGGCGGGAAATAAAAAACGCGGGATTTTTAACTAACACATGCGTATACAATAGATAGTAGCCCCATATTCAAGAACTATTTCGTGAGCTTTATTGTTTTAGTTTTTTTTTTTTATTAATCTTTGAGCTTTTCGAAAGTTTAATTAATTTTATTCATTTTTTTTAATTTTTTCCGAAGTTATTTTTTAAAATAAACTTAAAAGCTCGTACAGAGTGCATAAAATAGTCTAAAACCAAAAAACAAAAAACCAAAAACTACATATACAATATGATAATTATGTATAGTTTTTGTTAAAACGGAAATAACGATCAGTGGAAAAAAATATTTCCTTGCTAAGAAACAGTTATGTATGTAAATATACATATGTACATATATGGTAGACTGAAAGAAAACTAAACCAGCTAAAGAGCAGTTAATGAATAAATGTATTCGAATATTTAAGATTATTCAATTAATAAATTTTCAAGAAGATTTTTAGCAGATATTTGAACATTTTATAATTATTTTATTGCAAGAAAAAACTTAACGGTAATTCTATAATTTATACTTACATATGGTATGTTTTACAAGAAGCAAGTGAAGCATATTTGTTTATATTTATTTCAAAACACTAATTTATGTGCTATACATGCCAAAACAGTAAAAATTATGCCAGAGTTTTTAGAATTGGCAAGAAGAATGAGAGGTGATTGAAATTTTCATGAATTTAAAATAAAGTATGAAATACATTTTACTTCTGTGTATGAATTTAACATATGTATGTATGTAATTACATATATTGCTATAATAATTAATAATTGTATTATGATAACAAATTTTTGTTTTTTGTTCGTTCGCTTATTTATGTTCGAAATAATGTTCGTATTTATGTTCGAAGGATATTATAAATTTGCTTTAAATTTGAGATATTGGCATCGGTTTATGTTTTTGATGAACTTTGAATTATGAGTCGATTTAACAATGTCTGTTTGTCTGCCCTTCTGTCCACCAGTTGAAATTTCTGGATTCCTTGTGGTAGTTGCCATACAACTTCAATAGTTGTTTGCTCATATCTTAGAAACTATCAAAGTTACAGTGCTAAATTAAATTTTTTTGCATAAATTAATATGATAATACTGTAATTATTATTTCCGAAATATAAAGGTATGCTCGAAGGCTGTTTATTCTCGTTTTCCTTTTTAATGTTGTATAATTGTAATATAGCATTGTATAATTTATTAAATTGATGAAATGTATCCAATACCGTGGTAATATCAGGTTACCTATTGGTGCGATACATGCGTACATATGTACTTATGTATATGTTAGAGGTGAATGATAATATTGTTGTAAAAATGATAGTTAATTTTTTTTCTCTGTTAAAGAAGTTTCAAATTAAAAATTGTAATTACAATGAGTCTAATTACTATTATTGTTATTGTTGTCTTTCATTCTAAATTCTACAAAATTTTACAGAAAACAAAAAAATAAAAATGCAAAACATTTTTGTTTTTTTTTTTTTTTTAAGAAAGAATTACTAAAGGTTAAAAGTTATTTAAAAAAACACGTTTTGAAAGCTACAAAAAATTAACTATAGCACAAAAAAAAAACCCAAGAAATAAAAAAAAAATTGAAAAAGAGAAAAAGCAGAGGAAAAGAAAACTGAATCTAAGTTTTTGTCAAAATGTGTGAGTATTAGTAATTAACAGTAAACTCTGGATAATTCTCCAAAAATTTAAATACATTATTTATTTTCAAAATTGTGCCATGATAGAAATCAAACCAAATAGTTTTTATATAAATTTTCATATAAATATTGAACAAAATTACATTTTAAATGATTTATTGTAAAAATTCAGTTTACAACTACTGTTGACCGGAATATTGCAAATTACACTAACTTTTTTTTTTGTCAAACCTGCAGTAGATATCGGATTGGTTGATATTAACAAAAAAAAATCCCTTCCGATTTTATTAAGTCAATTGGTGTAAAACTTCAATTTATATTAATATTTTTTTAGTGAAATAATTAACTCTCTAATTTGTAAGAGCATTATTGTAACTGGTTTGACATTGACATTTAAAATGTTAACTGTGAAATGTCAAAAAAATTCGAAGAGTCGCTGTTTTCTTGAAAATGTTACGATTATTATTTAACTTACGACTATTGTTGAAAGAAAGAATTAATACTATTTTTAGTGATCATAATGACAGATATTAATGACAAGTTCAACATATTTAAATTTGATATTCGACTGTTATAATATTATGGTGTGTATATAATTATGTACATACTATATTATACTAATTTTTTAAAAATTTCATTCTTTAAACAAAATTTTTTGGAAATATGCAAACATACCTACACATACATATGTATATGTACATATATACTTTACTGTAGTAAATATGAGTTTTATAATTTTATTTTGAAACTTTTTTGGATAAAAAAAAAGTTTTTCTTATATTGTATTTTTGGTATGTTTTTCTCTCCTAGTTGAATTTGAAACCGCGTCGTGTTCACAGGTAAAAAAATCTTTCAAACCTGAGTTGAAAAGAAAAAGAAATAAATTAAAAAAAAATTTTTGATTATAAAATATATCAAACGGGTGCGCCGCAAATACCTTTGTGTATACATACATACATACTCGTACATACATGAGTATAAATTTTTATATTTTTTTATCTCATAATTTAAAGTATGTAATTAGACATAGTTTGAGCAAACAGGTTGTTGTTTTGTGATGAATTAAAAAAAAAATATTTCTTGTTGTTTAAAATTTATTTTATTAATTTAAAAAAAAAACAAAGAGGATTAAATATTTTAATTAAAATAAATTTTGTGTGTTTCAAATTTTGCTAATAAAATAATCATGTATTCAATACAAATATTACAACAAATTATATATGTATGTATAGAGTATGTGCATATTCTTGATATACGACATTTTTGGTACGACAAAAATTTAAGTCGTAAGTCGAATTTTCGCAAGAGAAAAAAAAATTAATTTACGAAAACGAAAATACATTTTTTTTTTCAATTTACATTAATTTAAAAAATAAATAATAAAATCGATAATATACAAACAAAATTAAATTTCTATAAATCTTAAAATTAGATCAAATATAACTTTCTAAAACAAAAATAAATTAAATAAAAATTAAATTACATACCTACATGCATTAACCAACTCATTAATAATGCATAATCCTTTTCAAATCGCATAATTATGTATAAAGTATCCTAGTCTTCATTAGTGTAGAAAAAACTGCTGTCAAATTACGATAGAGTAAATAAAATTATATTATTGAAAACAGCTGATTACATTTTTGTAGAACTATTGTAGAAAGTGTGTAAATGTCAAATATGTATTCACTACAGTATTTCTTATTTTCTTGAAAGTATTGCTCTAGATAATAAAATGTTAAAGTTGTTAAAATTAAAAATCTGTTTAGACTCAATATTGGATATTGGATTTGGGAAAATTGATCAATTTTAAAATTAAAAAAATTTATATTGCAACAAAATAACAAAAAGAACCTTATATTTCGAATCAACAATTTGTAAATGAAGTAGTTTTTTAAATAGATCTTTGTTCTATAAAGTCAGT